TGGACAAAATAAAATTCTGTTTGAGGACATGTCATCCAGTACCCGTCCTCAGGTAAGATGATTAAACTGGAACCACTGGTGTGTTTGAAACAGAAACACAGAAAACATACTCATAATTGTACTTTGGTGCTGCTAATGACCTGCCTTCCATATGTCTCCTTGTCTTTTTATTAAAGCTTTACAACACAATGTCTTACAGACACAGGAAACAGCAGTTCAGTTGAGATAATATAGATCTTCAAAATACCAAAGCCAAACAGAAGCAAGCCAGTGAAAATGCCACGAACAGGAGAAAGAACAGAGTGTGAAGTGCACACCTGGTGGGAAGACTCACAAGCTTAATAAAATAACAAAGCTGTACAGCCTTTAACCACAGAGAGCAGCACGAAAACAAATGTAATACTCTACTGAGTGGAGCTAGTATGATTCACTAAAGATAACTATATATATAGCCCTGTAACATAGGAGACAACTAAGAATAAAGGATTCTTCCTCAGCATGATGTTGGGTTTCTGGAGGGTCTGTTAGTCCGGTCGGACTAAACAGCTACAACAACTCATCATCCATGGTGCCAGTCCTTATGGGACTAGTTTTTCAGATTGGAAATCATCATGCCCATATTTCTAAAGAGCCCCAGATCGCTTTCTAACAGGGCTGCCTAGTTCTTTGTCGTGCACCATTCTGACTCACCTCAGTGGTTTTTATTTTCCAAGTGTTTACAGAATAATCCCCATGGCACCCTGACAGGACGATATCATCCATGTCCTAGATGGCGAAACAGAGACAAGGAGGTAAAATGAGCAGTCTTAGGCAGCAAAGGGAAGAGGATTGCTTTCCATGACTTTTCTAGGCCATCTTGTGAGTCCTTTCCTAAAGGTGGGCATTACGGTATCAGTACAAGAGAGATCAAGAGGGGAATCTTCTAGAACTTACATGCTATTGGGTTTCTTCCAGCCAATTTTCAAAGGTCTGTAGCCATTTTATTCATTTAAGAAGTCTGAAGCCTCAGAAGATGGTTGCTAGAGGTTTCTGCTTATCAGTTATTCTACCCCAACTAAGACAGTCTTTGGGATCTGGCTCTACCTTCCTGTGTGCTGGTGTCTGGACTAGGACAGAGAGGGATGTTTTGATGTACAGAGTCCTTTTTTGTCCAGGCTATGCCCTTTTTTAATGAGCCACTTGCCCTAGCATCGATGTGGTACAGAGCTGGTATGCACCCTTATTTTACCCAAAGATGGGTCAAACAGAGCAATACCTGTGTGCTGCAGCAAAGTTAAGCCCCTGCTTCTGCTGCTGCATAACTCGGATGTCCTCGGTTTGACTGAGGAAGCACTCACACCGTGCAACCTGCTTCGGGTGCAGAAGTGATCAGCGAGGTTCTGATCACACAAGAACATCACCTAGTGCTACAATGCAATGATACAAATCAGCAGTAAGTTGTAAGTAGTACGTGGTTTCAGAGTTATTTTAAGAGCAACAATAACCACAATCTCTGACACCCTGACACAATGACACACCCATGCCACCATATTTGTGCCTCAAAGCAATATACCCAGTCTTGAGAGAGAAAGACATCCACACACCCAACACCCTGGTTTCACACCCCACACACACAAAACACATTCGCTTAAGGACATCTTTGTACTCATTGCAAATGACACGCCCCAGCTGACTGTTACATACCAAACTGCAGTTTATTTAAAGTATTACAAGAAATCATTCTTAAATAAGGTTTAAGATCATGTTTATAACCACAGGAGAAGCAGAGGGTTTCTCCCAAGGGGGACTCCACTCCAGCGGCAATTGCGAGGAAAACAAAATTAGAGTGAAATGAGAGGATGTGCTTTCCAAAATGATGGGCAGTTTGGAAAAGGACCACAAGGATGCAGCGGAGAGGAAGCTACGCTCCTGCCCATCTGTATTGCATTATGTTCCTAGCGAGGCTCCAAAGCAGCAGCAGAAACATGCCACTGGCCTGTCTCGCAGCTCCTGCAGAGCACTATGCAAGTGACACCTCACTCATCAGGCAGTATTTCAACAGGAAAGTTTGTTTAAAGCCAGTGTCTAGTGAGAAATACCAACTTGGCCAAAGCCTGTGCACCAACAGGACTGTTGCATGAACTGCTGGGAGCAGGACAATAAAACCAACTAGACAGGTCACTTCACTGAGGCTGTGGAAGAGGCAGAGGTAAAACAACTGAGGGTCTCAGTGCAAACAAGAGGTCAGAGAGAGTGTGAACACTGCTGCTCACCTCTACTCAACAAGGGGAACTCCAAGAATCCCAGCATCCTCCAATCCTCCTGGGTCACATGGCAAACAACCAGAGGAACAGCAACTCAATGCAGGTACATTGAGTGACAGGGCTGAACTGAGAGGGTATAAATTGGCTGGATGGGCAGTCAGAGCACACAGAGACAAACAGAGAAACCTGTAGTTTTTTCATTTGTTTGGGATTAACTTCCCACTATCCACATGACCTGTACAACTCTGCTCCAAGCATGCATACATTACTCTGTCTTTTACCATTATATGCCTTATAGGCAAAGGACCAGGAGGATAGCTGCACTTTTTATCTACACTAAGAGAGGAAGCTACTCCAGGGACACTGAAATGGCTAATTATCTCTCACTTGTCCATGTAACGATGTCTCCTTCACACAGCCACTCTGCGCATGGCTCCGCCGTTTTGTTGTGAGCATCTGTGGTGCATGCTGAGACTCCTTAAGCACCTTGCATGCTCCCAAGACTGGGTTCTTTGAGTAAATGTTAAATGTAACAACATGCAAGAATCATGGGATAAAGTTGGGAAATCAGCTGAACCACTGCATTTGCAATGCTTGCAATTATCTATCCACAAGTGGGACAAAGCACCAAAGAATGCATTGGTTCAGTCAGATCTTAAAGTAAAGATATGGCCCCCAGGAGATGCAATGAGCACTTGTAAAACGCACAGGATGGTTGTTGCATGAGGCACAAGGAGTTGTACTGATGTTTCAAAATTATGGTGCCCCAATCTATGCACTATTGCAACACCCTCTTGCCTAGTGTAGGCAAGGCCACAAGGTGGCAACCCCAGAGCATATTTTAAAGTGGATTTTGTTACAATGTTCTTTGAATTCTTTAATTTGAAAGAGTCCTCCCCCATCACCAGCAGGCATAGGGGAACAGAGGGTACTGGCTCCAGTCTGCCATGCTCCCATGAGCATGCCCTGAAGCCCCTTGAGCATTATAATCTGTAGAAAAGGGAGAGTAGCTCATTGCCCTGTACTGGCTGTGGGAAGGGACCATCCACTGGCCTAGGCCTTGCTCAGCGCCATATGGATTGTACACTGGACCTCGGGCCCCTGGCTTCCCAGCAGAGTCTACAGCCATGTTGACCACCCCGGTGTAGTCTTGAGGAGGAGGCAGAGGTGGGGGTAGTGTAGGCAGGTTGGTGAAACCTTCTGACAGCTGTTTAGAATCGTGGTCCGGCACCGTGGCTATGTCCAAAGGGTGGGATCTGGCCCGAAACTCATTCAAGGTGGCGACATTGCGCGCGGGAGCCTGCTGCGTGTCCCCCGTGTCATGGAACCTGGGCCCAGAGGGGGGAAGGGAAGAATGAGTCAAACCCACACCAGCATAAATACTCTGAATTAACCTACATGGGATGTGGTTCAAAACTTCACCCAGGAGAGCGCGGGCAGGCCAAGGACATGGGGCACAATCACTTCCCCATGCAATTTTAAACATCAACTTTCCTTCTCAAAACAATGTGCTTATCAAGGTAATCCGTCTCCACATCTGAACTCTGCCTCTCTCCCTATGCCCATCTAGGGCTCATCTGTATGGGAAAATTAAGAGCTCAATTAATCCAGCGTGAATATACAGCACATTAGCAGTCTGCACTCACCTCCCATGTGAACATAAGTAGTGTGTAGCAAGTATGAAAATGGAGTAAGCTACCTGGTGCTGAGTGTGCAGGAAGAATATGCACCTGGGGTTCATGCAGAGTAGTTAGTATGTTGTGATTTCACACCTGAGCTTACTCTGCACTATCTTTACCATCTAGACAAGCCCTTAAGAAAGTCTTAACTATACATTTAACCTGGGTTTTAGCCAAGCCCCCTAATACTCACCCAGAGAAAAAGCCTCTGACCTGCATTTGCAGGTGTTTTCCTATCTTTCTGAGCTGGGTAACGGAAGAGCACGGGCTCTACTTTAAATTGGGCTGGAACCTGTCTCTTTTGCAGTGAGGACACAGAAGGAAAAACATCACATGAGCAATAAGGGCCCTTGAATGCCCTCTCCTCAGTGTGACAGACAAGTTCACCCGTGAATGCCGCAGCTGACTAGGAAAGAATTCTGAAACATTTCAGGGCAAAGAAACAAGGATAATGCCCTCAGACACACTGGACTAGTGGGGAAACAATGAGAAAAAGTTTCTCACACTCAAGTTTGGTTACCTGAAGTGCAATCCCCCATGTTAAGTGCAGTGGAGATATCCGTTACTCAATTCATGCTGCTTCCTCTAACAGAAAATACTGGGTCACCCTTATAAGAAAAACCCCATAAGAAATTGAAAAAAATGCCAGTCCTGGATCTGGACCATATGTACTGTGGGTATACAGCAGGGAGGTGGGACTCACCTGTATGTCTGGTAGGTGGAAGGAGTTGGCACTTGCTGCTCTCTAGCAGTTGCTTCTCTTTGGTCTGCTGGTGCTGGTGACACTGCAGGGATGGCTTGGCTGCCGTTCTGCTCCGAGACCCAGAAGGGGTATCCACCACTAACCGGGATGGGATTCCGCTCCTCTTTCACCTCCACGTTCTCATCCTTCACAAAATCTGACTCACAACAGGGAAAGGAGAGGGAATGAGAGGGGAGCAGGGAGAAATCAGGGCTCAGAAATAGTTTGTTTGCAGTTGGATTCAGTCCAAAAACACACTGCCTCCCAGTCACAGGGTCTCACAGCCAGTACTGCAGGCCAGAGTGATAAGGAGTTTGCAAATAGTCAGAAATGTCAGCTAATTACCAGGCATCTGCCAGCGCTCCTGAAACAAAGGCTGAGTATTTTTCTAATCTCTCCCTCATTCTCGGACACAACACACAAGAATGTGTGCGCTCTGAAGAAGTTGGCAGGCTGCACACTACGGATTCAGCGAGGAATTAGAGATGGAAAGACCCATCAGGTTACAGGCTCTCATAAATGGTTGCTGGTCACATGGCATTGGCTTATCCTTCTCTCTGAACTGCACTAACTGCAGATCAAATAACTATTTGACAATTAACTGAAGGATTGTACAAGCCATGCCCCCTAAATGGGAGGCAAAGTACCTGCCATAAAATCTGGCAAACATGGCCCACACTATGAAATGTTAAGTATCCCCATCTCAGCTTACTATGTCCAGCTCCCTACCACTGTTGGGCTCTTCCCTACAACACGTTTTCAAGTTTATTGCTCAATCTAGCTGTTTGGCTCAAGACTCTCCTACAGTTTAATGGAGTGGAGGTGTAGTTATAGGAAGAGCAGTTATGGTGTGTTACATATATATTCTGGAATTGCATGTCCAGATAGCAGACTATGTGTGAGCAGCAGGGCAAAAATCTGAGTAAGGATTCCCACTGTTGTGCGATGGCATGGAGGAAAGTTCAGGTGCACCAGGTCTTTTGCATGTGGGTACAAAGTTTCTTTCTTTAAGTGAGGGCCCTGCTTTCTTGTTTCACGTTCCTTGTTCCCATATGACTGTAGATAGCCTACCTCTTGCAGTCCCAGATGCCTAGACCAGCTGTGAACCCCTCTCCCTAACATCGATCAGGATATGCTCCTGCTCTTTCCCTTGTCAGCGGGGAAAAAGATCCCCAAGATCTGCTCACACACTTGCAGCTACTAAACATCTGATTTGGCAACTGCTCTGCAAGTTCTTTTGCCTTTCTTGCCTCTGCCATATACTCATCTTTCCCTTCCCCTCCATCTTTCTTATTTGGCTTTGCCTTGTCCCTTGATGGCAGGACCCTGATCCATACATCCACTTGATGCAGACTTCTTCAGGCTGTGCACCCAGCTCCTCTTGTGAATTATGGAATGAGAGTTAGCATTCTACTTCCTTCCTACTAAAAACTGACTTGCACAGTATCCTCCAAAATCCCTGCCCTCAGTGCTGATGAATGCAACTCTGTGCAGCCAGGAGCTTTAGTAGACCCAAGTCACTGTCTTTTCCTCCCCTTAGCATGATCCCTGTTGGCAAATCTGTTGCTGACAATATTACCCGGTTCCTCAGCACCAGACTCTGTTTCTTCTGGGAGCTTCCTCTTCTGACCTTTGGCTGGGCTAGGTTTCTGGCCTTTTGCTCGCCCTTCCCTATGAAAAGAACAACATATGGAAGCAGGTTTATAAAGCCTTCCTATGTAGCTGCCTGTAATGGGAACTCTAGAGCAGAAACAAGATTCTGGTGTGTCAAAGAAGCAGGAAGACCAAATATCTAATAACTTCTGCAGAGAGAGGGGTTGAGCTTAGGATTGCCAGTCTTTTAGAAACCACATTTTTGCTGTCCAAGAACCAACCCAGAGCAATCGGCTTCTTGGAACTATGTTTGTTCAAATGTTCAGACTGTAGTTAGTCATGTTGAATGCAACTACAGAGTGGCAGTCAGGAAGAAAGACTGAATCAGCCCTTCCCTACCGTGGAGTTTTTACTCGGGCTTTGCACAAAACACACAATCACACTGGAAAGCCTCAGCACTGAGAGTTTGCACAGTCATTTATGAAAATGGTGTGCTATCTTATATATACAAGAAATTCTGCTGAGCTTTTCTTTAAGAAGGTATGATTGTTTCTGAGGGAGCATGGGGCCTATTTCACCCCCAAACAGTCCTATTATTGGAAAACATCAACATGAAGCTTTCAAAAGTTTGTTTAAATGGAAATCACTTTTGACCCAATGACAAAAAAGGAGTCACTTTTCCAGACAAAAAATGACTAAAAAATGCCTGCAAGCATTTTCAGTGACATCTAACCTCCTGGTTGTGTGGGTGGGGGAAGTGCCCCCACACCAAGGGAGTGGTGATGAAGGAGCACCCGGATGCTGGATGTTAGAATTAAGCTGGCCACCAGGAGTGGTAGTGATCTAGTGCAGGCTCACTATATCCTCATGAGACCACAGTTACCTTCGAGTGTTCTTCCCGTGTTCCCGGAAACCTTTAGCAAACGGGTTGTTGTCAATTTTGAGTTTTGTGATCTTAAAAATAAAGAAATTAGATTCAGTAGTAGAAAGAACAGTTGCCTTGGCTGCCAGGGCCAGGTCTGTATTGCTCTGAAGCAAGATTCCCAACCCCAGCACTGATACAGATGCTCTCTCTATACATTATGGTCCATTTTTGGTAGTTATATGGCCCCAGTCTTCGCAGGATCTTATTGCCTCATTGTCTTTAAGGTATTTATCCCACAAGACACCTTTTTTAGGTGGGGAACTGAGGCAGTGGAAAGCTAAGTGACTTGCTCAAGGTCACATACAAAGTCTATGACACAGCAGGGAACTAAAGTTGGCTCTCTCCAATTTCAAACCAGTGCCCCTCACTACTGGATGATTTTCCCTCTCAAATTTAAAAGATCAAATTTAAGCAGCAATACAGATCTGACTTTAAGCCATCTAATAACAAACTCAGTTATAGCTGCCATTCTGTCACCAACACTTCCCATTCTTACAAGGTACTGAACATCAAGGTTGCATACCTGTGCAATATGGATTGCTGAAGAAATTACTCCTCCATCTCCATCTCAGAGAGACTCTTCTATGGAATGGGTCACAGATGGGGGCAGGGGCAGGAGACAAGGACTACTAGTGTTATCTCAGATATGGGTATAGAGAAGGTCATGAGTGTTATCCTCAGAAGACAGGAAAAGGGGGAAGGATATTTGTATTACCCACAAAAATGAGGGAGGAGGGATTCAGATACTGTCTGCATAGGACAAAGAATACCTGTCCCATCCTCATAGGTGAGTTAGAGGGAAGGGGCATTGCCACATTATTTGCAGAAGCAGGGGAGGAAAGACTCCTTTTGTTGTCCATATAGGCAGTGGAAGAACCTTTCTCCCTGGGGGCAGCGTCGAGTGTACATGCTTGGTATTTACCCAGGTGCAGAAGGCTAGTGCTTATACACACTGTACCTTCTCATTTTGGTAGGCAGTAACAGAGGTGAAGACAGTCTCAGGGAAGCTGAACACCTGGAAGATGCTCCAACGGACACTAAACAGGTCATCTGCCTGTACTATGTGGAAGCGCGGCTTGTAACGGTGCATGGAGTGAAGGATGATCTGGTGGAGAAGGAAACAGGAGACTTCCAATTGCAGCATTACTTAGCCAGCTTGCTGTTGGCATAGTCTGTACTTCCCAATCCAGGTCTCAAGTTAAAACTTTACCTTTGTGATGACCCCACCTCTATTCAGCTCCATTAAATAGGCATTTTCTGTTTAAAATGGGTACAAGGGTAATACTGCACAAGTGTCCCATTTACCAGCTGTAGGATCAGAGGAATAAACCCAGTGGCCCAGCAGTGGGTATAAAACAATGGAGAAGGAAAACACATTGCAGCCCCTCCTCTGACTAGACAGCTAACATATCCCAAGAGTCAGTGCATGAGTTATCAAGAGCCACCAAACCCATGGGTGCAGTGTACATGGATACCATGACTTTCAACACGCAGAGATGCTGTTCTGTAAATCTTGCATAGGTAGTAGAAGAATTTTAACCAACTCATTTAAATGCTCATTAAACAAACATTTTTGGTTGAATTTCCATTAAGAACCAAATCCTCCCTTCCAGGAGTTCCAGTGAACAAAAAGCTCAGTTACAACTCACGTGTCCATGTTGATCCAGGGTGTTGTTGGTGAGTTTCAGCTTTTGGAAGGAGACAGGTTCTTTCATCCAGTGGCTGCCAGGAGCTGGAGAATCTGGATGGACATATGTACGGCAGGGAAGCTGTGGCTCTGCTTTTCCAGCAACTTCCCACTGATCTTTATTCCACTGGAAAAGGAAACATAGGAAATCCCACAGTTTAGTAGCCCCACTCTGACAGTATCAAAGTAACAATGACCCAGCACCTTTGCTTCTTTACTTAAGGCAGTGGGGATGTCTGACATGACAGAGTGTGGGCTATGTCTGACTGATGATGTGAAGGTACTATGTCATGTTCTTATGTTAGTTTCCATGATCAGCCCCCTATTTGCTTGCCCTCTCTACTAGTTTTGGGGCATTTTATAAACATTAACTGAGTCAAGTCTCCATATTTACTATGTCAATGATTTAAAACATACTTGTGCACTTTACAAATTAAAGGATGTTATTTTTCCAGCTGCCAGCCCTGCAATAATGGCAACTGGGGACTGATTCAAAGAATGCTATGAAACCTCCAGAAGACACCTAATTCTGGTTGGTCACCAACTAGCACCTGAAACATAAGTATTCACACTATGTAGAGGGCCAGCACTTATATCCTATATAAGATCTAAGATAACTTAAATGGTGCCTGGGTATTTTACTGGATCCCTGCATACAGGTGAATTTCATCAACTGGAACAAGCAAAAGGACAGAATGACCTTTCTTCCCCTCAAATTATTTACCTTGTATCTGAAGTTGTCCATTGGCACAAAATCCACCAGCATGAGGTATTTAGCATAAGGGATCAAGCCAGAGACTTTGATTTTGCACTGTGGAAACATTCGTCTGAAGAAGAAATAAAATATATATTACAAAGGTCTTATTCTTTTTTAATAGTCTAGTCAGGCATTTGATCTTGTTTGTGGTCTGTCAGGCAAAGTGTTCTTGGGATCATAGTGTACATCAGCCACTGACATTTTTATTAGCCTATTATCTAGCCCTACTCAAAGTCACTAGTGGCTTGCCTTTTCTAGCACTCCTACTGTTGCTATTCCTAATATGCAACAATGGAAATTTTAAAGAAAATTTAAGTGTAGACAATGTTTAGGGCTTTCACTGTGTCTTGCCCAGATGTAGCCCTCCTGGGAAACTGATTTTTTTGCGTAGGTGGCACCCATTTGAGAATCTGTCTAGCTCTCCCCTCCCCTCCTCTCTCTGGAAACTCTCCACAACTGCTGTGACTCCTCACAACACTGTTAGAGGTCACTGATTTCCCTTCCTTTCTTATGAAGACTGGTTCACCAGCTCTCCCTAGTCACAGAAGATCCCTTTAGTAGGTCTCAAAAGGTCTGGCACCTTCTCTTCTTGGCTTTATCTTGCACAATATATAAAAGTTCCATATCCTCTGGCTATTTGTTCCAGGATGCATCATGCTCCTCAAGGCATGAAATAGTTAAATTTAAGAGCAGCATGGGTCCGGTCTCTTTTTTGACTTGCATCATCCTTTGCACGGTCCATCCAAAGTGTCCAGCTCCAAAGCTGGATGCTACAAACATCCCAAATGTTTCATCTACCATGATCTGGAGCACCTTCATGCCTATACATTCAAATTATTTGCCTATGATGCAGCAGCCATGTTTGCTTGTGAGGCAAATGGGATCTAGGATTCAATCTTTGTGTGGCAACCGCAGAACAGCGGGGGCCACTGACACTGCTTGATGCAGGAGCTATAGCATGGGATGGATTTTTCAGTGTATAAGTCACCAAGTAACCTGGGTGACATTTCCACTTCAGAGTTAAAGGACCTCTAGATTCTTTGATGCTGCCGTTGTTCTGCAAGGGGAAGGGAAAACAGAATCTGTGGCTTAAAAACTAGTTTGAAAGTCACGTTTCCAAAAGTGATGTACTGGGTGGGAATGGTCTGCATGCAGCTTGCACAAACATTGTGTGCACAGATTGCTGGCCATCCTTACCTGCCAGACTTAGTGATGATCATTTCGGTTCCTATTTGGTGAAACTGCATCCAGAGGTCCATGTCCTCTAGGGTAACAACAATGGAGCTCTGAGGGTAAGACTCCAGGTTGGAGGAAGGAAGGACATCACACTGAGTTTTCACATCTAGCAGGGGAAAGTAAAAAAGAAAACAGTTTAGTTATGAGCAAGTCAATGCCAAAATGCTTCAGACAGAGCTTTCAAACTTGATGTCAGTGCCTGTTCATCTGAGCGTCTGTGCTTGGAAATGGCCAGTTGCAATGTTTAAGACTTGTCCAGTGTATACAGATCATCACTCCTCCTTGTGGCCGGCCTCAGTATCGGTCACTCCACAATTCTCCCATAATTAACGGAGCTCAAAGAATGTAAGCTTGTGTTGAAGATCCCCCTGACACACGTACGTGTGTGTGTGTGTGTAGGTGAGGGGGTCTGTGTGTATACATGATCACAACTGAGATACACTGAGAGAAATTACAGCACCTACAGATTCTTTCAGTTAGGCTATCTTAGTAAACAGAAAAGGCTGTTCCAGATATTTTTCAAGGCAAATATCCTCCTTAGTTGAGATTTTAGCTTTGTGCACCATGCCATGCCTAGCTTACTTTATTCTATTCAGTGTTCAAAAGGAGATCAACAAAGCAGGACATTTCACTATTACAAGGCATCCTTATCTAAACACAGTCACATAAAGTGTTTTAATTTGAAAGCTAAAAGGAAAGGGAATGTTCATTATGACAGGGTCAAAGCAATCAAATAGGCTGGGGCAGATGGATCACTGAGCAATTCTCTTTGGAAACTATATGTATAGCTCTCTAGGCCTAGCAATATCTATCTGAACAGATGGCGCTCCTGTGAGATACTGGAGAGCAAGTCACTTCACTATTCTGTGCCTTAGTTTCCCCATCTGTGGCATGGAGATAACAATACTAACTTCCTTGGCAAAGATCTCTAAAATCTCTGAATGATGCATGTTATAGAAGACCGTACTACAATTACTACAACACAGAGGGCGCATCTACACATTCATTAATGTGCTATAATTATGGCACATTAAGTTTAGTACCTATAATAACAGGTACTAACATAATGCACCGTAATCAGTGTTACTGAGCGTTAGAACATTAGAATGGTTTTTACCAGCTGCACTAATGTGCAGTAAGTAGAATTAGTCTTCTGTACATTAAGCGCCTCATGTAGATGTGCCCAAACTGACCAAAATTATACCTCAAAGTCAACCAAAAGCCCAGTGCTGCTCTTCCCTCTACTATGTGATCCCATTGATGTGCATGGCAAAATCCTGCTGATTTCAGCTGGATCTGGTTTTGACTCATGTTCTTATTAGTCAAAGTTTTGAAGAAAATAACTCTTTGATTGAAATATTCAGAACTGCAGTGCTGTCATCAGTATAACAAAAGCAGGTCCATTTTTAAGACAATGATACATTATCAGCCATGCATAGCCATTTATTTTAATAGGGGATTGCCTCTTAGCCTGCACCCATTCTTATATAGACACAAGGGAATTTGTCACTTCATTACAGCTTCCCTGGTCAACATCTTTAAGCAAATACACATGAAAAGTAACCAATTATTTCCACTCAAAGAAGGCCCATCCAGAAGGATATGTTTTCTGACTTCGGATGCAAGCAGTTTTTAAACATGATGCTATCAGTTTGCAAAGCTATCTAGGTATTTAAAAAAAAAGGGTATTTAAAAAAAGACTTACCACCCCTAGACTTGGTTGCTTTGATCCAACATTAATAAACTGGCTAAGAAGTGACACCTAGTTTGCTCCCTAAGATTAGCCTGTTAACATCTTCTTACTAAAGCTTCCCTCATATCCTCTAGCAGAGACATGAAAGCTGCAATGAGATCGTGCATTTTGTAGTTCACTGCAGACCACATATCAAAAGGAGTTACAACAGAATTGGGCTGATTTTCAGCAGGAGACAGTCCAGTCACAAATACATGCAAACAGATTTTGATTGGATAGATACTCATCTTTTACTCCAAACCTATTTTACAATTAAACCTTTTGGTAAACAAATTCCAAGACTATTAAATGAAACAATCAACCCAACTTTGAGGCCTTTACAGAGGCAACACTATTGGTGAAGTCAATGAAAATTAAATTCACAGTAATTTTGCTTGAAAAAAAAAATCAAACGAACACAGATCTCATAATCTGGTTGTATAAGAATAAAACCACAGTGTACTATATGACTAAGACATTACAGGAGACACAAACAGCAGTGAACATAATCAACGTGAGGGCAAGGTACATAATCAAAGATTTTCAAAAATATTTAAGGATTTTGGTGCCTTAGTTTTTGAGTGCCCGGGATGACACTTTAAAGAACATTTAGAGAGAAAGTGATCATTGCATGGATGTGATTCTGAACCAAGCCAGGGGCTAAGTCCTGCACACAGCTGGGAATTTGAACAATAATGTGGAAAGGTTTGTGATATGCTCTTCAGATAGCGAAAGAGGTGAGCAAAAGCTCTGCAGGTAGCAAACTGTTCAGAACTTTAAAATAAAACTTTATAAAACTTTTGGAAGCATTATTTTATGTTATTTAATTAGGTATTTCCACTGTGATGTTCATTGGAGTTTTTCCCCTATTCCCCCCCACCCCAGTTTCCACTAAGGTTTATGTCTCCTTGTTTTTAAGTTAAGCTCTGGAACGCTAATTTGGTTTTAGGGGTTATAGTAACAGAATTATTTTTTCCCTGGAATCTTGGGCCCAAACTATTTTAGAAGGTATTGATGCTGTTAACAGGAAGCAGTGATTATAATGCATGCTTTTCTCTGTGTCACTGTACGGTCAAACAGAAGGAGACTCCTGTGCTTGAAGCAGGGCATGGCTTAGCTCTGTTCTTTGCTGTACTGTATACTTGTTACATGGATGCTGGCAAGTCACTAACCTTGTTTGTACCTCAGCGTCTCTGTCTGCAAAGTGTTGAGAACATTTTCCTATGCTAAGGGGCACATCATTCAGTGATGTTTATAAAGTACTTTGAGATCCTAGCACAAAAGGTTATGGAACAGCTTTACAGAAAGCAAACCGGGCCTCTTTAAGGAATTGCTCTAACTCTTGCAGAAGTGCTGTGGTACTGAAACAAATATTGTCAATTTAGTTTTAGGGGTTATATTAACAGAATTCCTGTACAATATATAAGATGGGGTCTAGGCACCTTGAAAATATCCACTGGGACCCAGGAGTATGTACGTATTCCACCTTTATCAGAATCAGTTTCAATTACATTTGCTGCTGTTATACCCCCAGTGTAACAGCCTAAAGATAAAACTGTTTGGCTTCCAGGGACTGTTTGATGTCCCTGAAAAAGAAATACATTTCAACATATATAGCTATCTCAAAAAGGAATCTTGCCAAAAACTGCACAGGGTAGAGCCAAAAAAGGCCTCCAGCCTTGCAAATAGCAATATGAACACCCCATTTATTCAGTGGGAGACTGCCCAGTCTCCTGAAATTGCAGTTTGGGGCATTAAAGAAGGGAAAGTGAAAGGCTCAGTTACTGCTTACCTAGTCCCATTTTGGGTTTGCTTCACAAGTACTATGATTTTACTTCTCAAATCCAGTCATGCATTGCCAAAAAATGTTTTGATTTCCAATGCAGTGTGATACATATAATGACATGAAAAATAATAAGACTTGCCTAGACACAGTGATGTAAGACAGATTATGCCTTTCACTGTACTTCCTAAGCTTTTTAAGTTGAAGTCTCGCTCAATGTGGCAAGAAATCACCATAATGTTCCTTCCTTTCATGTTCAATTTGCTATCGTAAGTATTGTTTAAAAAAACCCAAAACAAAACAGTGGCAGCAATTAAAATCATCTTTGTCACTGTAAAGCTACTTGGCTTCTTAGGAATAAATCAGCAGTGCATGGGTGACAAAGGGAAGCGGTAGGTAGTTAGCCATTTGAAACATGTATGTGAAATTAACACAAAAATCTATTAGTCATTTGTTTAGTACGACCAACGAACAAAAATAAGCAAATAAAATTCCCTGGTGATCAGTATGGGACATAAAATGATGTCCACAGGGTTGAAAACTTACCAAGATCATGGCATATGGTTCTTTTACTCTTGGAGGGAAGAGAATATACAGAGTCAAGCTAACCTCTGTATCATGGATCAGAAATGCCCTAAGTTCCTTAACAATGTATGCGCGTTTTAGATTTCTATATGGCATTTCATCCCCAAGGAACCCATGGCACTTTGCAAACTGGATACTAGGGAATTAAAACAAAAGCACCAAAGTAAACCTTTGTTTGTCTTACAGCAAGTGCCACAAGATGTCAAATGTTCACACAGAGCATCCACAGCTTCCATTTGTCTTTTCCCTCTCTAGGAAGATTTAATGCCCCCAGTAGTATCCACAAATGCTGATGACCTGTTGGTACACTGTTCCCTTTTTTAGACCTCAGTATACCCCTGGCACTATTTTAGGGTCTTCCCTACACATTGAGAAATGGAAAAGTCACCTACCAGATAATGCTTGCATTTTTCCATGTACCGTTAAGTCATAGAAGTTGCGCAGGCAAGAGATCCACCAGAGCTCCTCTCTCTTGAAAACCAAAGTAGTCCAGTTCAAAAGCAAAAGTCTTGATTTCCCAAAGCAAGCAGGAGCCCTTCCTTCTGTGATCCAGTGTCAAGAGTGCCTGGGACTAAGGATGGGACTCCAAGCTTAGCTAGCCAAGGTGAGTTCGTTATATGAAGGCTAATGAATAGGGAGGAGCTTCTCCCCAGGGCTGTCCCCTTGCAGTCCTTTGATGTCCAAAGGGACAAAGAGAGGAAGGATCTGCAGCAATGGCTGGGGCTAAGGGAAGAAAATCAAAGAGAATTAACATGGCTTTGACATACAGGAAACCCTACAGGGGAAATGCACCTTGATTTACTGCTAACACACTTTTAAACAAATAGAGACAAGACCAAAAACACCAGCTGAAGAGGTACCTACAAAAAATAACTTCAGACTTAAGATTTCCTTCAGGCTGCATTGATGGTTTGATAAAACTTCTATCTCCCAAACAGATTCCTGCATTCCAAATACAGTTTGGACTTTCTTTTTTATGGTTGATTTTGGGTCTTTATTGACATCAGGCAAATTTAAAAAAAAAATATTTCCCCCCAGTCTGAGTAAAAGAACTGGCTAATGCAACTTTTCACAGTAAAAACAGATATTTTGGCAACATGTTTCTTTCTCAGTAGAAGTCTTCAGCCCAGTAAAGATCTACAGCCCCAACCTAGCTGATAGACCAGCTAAACATTACTTGCCTAGCTACTGTCCCTTTTACAGTGCTCAGCTATATGAATTTCTTATCACACAAGGTTTGATAACACCCACAGATACACTAGATATCCTTAAGTTCTTAGTTAGGCCTCCACTGTATTTAAAAGATTTTCAGGCATGATTGTGTCAGTAAGAGGTTGGGGTTTTTTTGCTGACACAGCTGTACCAGCAAAAGCCCTAGCGCAGATACTATACTAGAGGCAAAAAAGTCCTTTTGCGGGTATAGCTTGGGGAACTGGTATAAACAGCGTGCATAAAATAAACTCTGCTGGGATAAATTTTGCCTACCCTAGAAGGATATAATCTCTTAAGTAGGGATAGGGCTTAGTTTTTCCTTATATTTCATTCTGGGGAAAAAAAGTCTCATTGAATTCAAGGCTAAACAGAAACTAACGCCTTCCTAGTTTGGCCCTTAATGAGTTTATTCTGTGAGTGTGACCATTAACATTTGTGCTTGTAAGTGCTAAGACAGGGGTAATCAAATGTCAAGCTTTAGGGCATAAGCTGGCTACCATATGTGTGAGGAAGGGATTTCTTCACACCTATATACAGCATTGCATTATTGGCTATGCATAGTTTGGGCCAAAAGTGTGGTTTCAAATATCAATCAGTGTCCAACACAGGATACAGGTCTCAGTGGCCCAGGGTCTGATTCCCTACAGCAAATTCTTATGTATCAATCTTCTATTCATGTCAGATGGCTTCGCTGTATCGCTATGGATGATTTAGGGACCAATCCTGTTCCTGCTGAAATAAGTGGGAGTTTTGTCACTGACTTTAATGTGATCAGGTCCAAGCTTTTAGTTTGGTGCAATGTAACATATTTTTACCATGCTCATCCCTTTAGTGGGTGTTTCTTTAAAGTGGATGTCAGCATAATTAATATGAACCACAGAAAGAATTTCAGCACCAGGAAGAGATATTTTCAGCCACAGGACTTAGGCACCTCTAGTATGGTATATCTCTTCTTTTGGCTTTATTTACTTTAATCACTTGCCTGGCAATTTTCTTCTTTTTTGTAGCTCTGTTGCTTATAAATTGGCTGCAGTTAGTTAGGTTGTTATACCCAAAATACACTGATGACATGAATGGATTCAAACCTTCAACACTGAACAGGGTCAAAGTCCACTCCCTTTTTACTACAGGGCCAAATCGAGACTCTCACCTTATTGTTTTTATTCAGACAAAATTTCTCAGCAACTCCAACGGGAACTTACCTGAGTAAGCACTGAATGAGGGCCTCAAGGTTAGCTCAGAAAGTAGGTGGGAATGGAACCGTTTGCAGATCTTTTATCTTTCCCCTGAACTAATTCGTTCACTGTCAGATATATCAGCGGCATGTGCTTTGTATCACTGCAATTTAGACTGCACTGATGGAATGTACTTTTTTTTTGCCTTGGGTTGGAATTAAAAAGGTTGTCCCTTGATTCCCCCTGCTAAAGGGCAGGAAAAATTATATTCCCCAGCTCTAGACCCCAATTTCTGTAGCAGCAGGCTTCAGCAAAAGGGAATCTCCAACCCCAGGAGAAAGAGTGCCTTTTCTAGTAGTGCATTGTATTCTGGGGCATCTCAGTTGTGGAGGGGTATATCCTGTGGGATCAGGAAGAAGATCTGTGGGGTAGCTGGGAAGAGGCAGGTACTCATCCCTGGGAAAATTCCATCTGAGGAGGGATTTTGAAAGAGGTGTCAATCTGGATCCCCTGGAGAAGCAAGCACATTTTTGCTGGCTGCCTTTTAGGAATATGGGGTAAAATACAAGACAAATACAGTATTCTCTTTCAGAAGACATCTATAAGGTGAGCATAGGTTAGAGGGAAGCTATTGTGTGGGTCTGAAAAGAAGGTCCCATGGAGAAGATAAAAGAAAAAGAATCAGATCAGTTTTGCAGGGAGGAAGATTGGTTTTGAGATTAGGGCATTGGACCGAGTACCCGATTTGGGCACAGATAATAAATCAAACAGTCCAGGAGTGGGAAGAGACCTAGGGAAGAGACAGGCTGCCTGAAGATCCTGAGTCTCTGGACAGTGTTATTTTAGGTTAACAAACAACTCAACATGTCCACATTAAAAAAAATCAGAACTAAAAAGAATCAAAAATATAAACTGCCAGCTTCCAGCCTCCTTCACTGGCGCTCTCAGCTCCATTGCTACAGCAGCAAGCAGAGCAGGATAAAAAATGCCTCTGGCTGCTCCCCACCCCCTTCCCACCACTGAGAACAACAGAGGCAGTGACTGGATCTTTCTTAGTTTCTGCTTCTCTAATGCTGAAGTTTCTGTCGCAGAAAGACGCAAGGGAGCTGTAATCAGAGAGCCTGAGACATGCCCTCATTGAGGAAGATGGGAGAAGAGAGAGAAAAGTGGGTCACATTCAAACTTGCAGTGAGCTGAATTAGCATCCCACTCAGTCAGAAATTGCACAGCAACAACACCGCCAGGGATTTCAGACAAGCGCACCACCTGACTAGTGAGTGTGTGTCGGGGTTGGGGGCGGGGGGGACCAATTTGGCATGCATCTCAGGACTCATTGCTTCTGCCATAAAAGGGCACCATCATATGATCTCCCTTATACCTCTCATTTGGGCACGCAGTATCACTGTCTGGTGACACACATTTTCTGCGAATACCCATTGCTTTCAGCTCTTTCCAGCTGATTGATGGGAAGGTGGAATCATTAATTCCCAATTACTAGTTAACAACTAGTTCTCTCCTAGCCATTCTAGCAGTGATAGAGAGGTTTTCAAAGGGAAGAAAAGAGAATTTGTTATAATTGCTAGAAAGTGTGGCTAATAGCAGCAATCCCCATGAAATTCACCACCAGCAAAGGGGGGAATTTAGCACATTACCCTCTGTCTGTGTGTCCCCAGTGTGCCTGAGGCAGTACTCTGAGAAATCAGATGTGAAAAGGCTGGTGTCTAACAATTCATGGGCAAATTGGAGGGGTGAGAGGGAGGCCAGGAGGAGGAGAGCGATTGGAGTGATAGTGAAGCACTAAAAGGAGAGGGATGGGAGTGATAGTGAAGCACTAAAATGTGAAAGTCAGTGACATACAGCTCTGCTCCAAGCTCATTCACAGCAGTGGATAAAGATCATATTGTGCCTGGCTCTAAACAGGAGATCCCCCAGCATGCTGAAGGGAATGAGGGGAGGAGGGCATGGGTGTTGGATGAAAGGAGTGGAGGTGTGACTCAGCTGTTATTTTGTGCCTCTCCAATGAGCTGAGTAAGTGGAAGCAGCAGTCTTAATGGTTTTAACATGACAGCCATTTTCTTCTGGCGTATTTCACAGCATGGGAACTTTTTAGCAGATAAAACACAGCAGGAACCCATGCTGCGGTTGTCCACGCATACGCCATACCCCAGCCTTGCTTGAACTGCTCAACTGCAAGTTCTTTGGGACACGGACCACGTTATTATTCTGTTTGGTACAACAGTGAATATGGCAGGGTCTTCTTGGTCCAAGCCTCGGGCTCCCAGGTGCTATGACACCACACGTAACAAACAGCATGATGCCGTCATATTAAACATCAGCAACCTTGTGCCTTACTCATCAGGGTCTGATTCTGCAAGAGACTGAGCACCTTTTAGCTTTGTTTTCCACGTGGAGCTTCCAGAACACAATCCCACCCTGACACCACCACCAGGGCTGCTGAGTTATCTTGTACAAAGGTACTGCCAGGAGTGAGTGTGCAGGTACAACAGAAAGCCAGGTCAGTGATAACAAATGCTTGGGGAACAGCTGGTCTCAAATCACATGTTAAGCCCTGTCTGGGCCATTTCTGATTTAATTTGGGAGCTCACAGTTTGTCAGAAGAGGATGTCATCTGAACACCACAGTTCCAGGACTGTGAAAGAAGCAGAACTGTCCTCCAGAACTTGAACCTTCATTCATAAAAGCATCTAAGCCCTAACAGGTGTGAGGAAACTTCTGTGTTTAACTGAAGAAGTGCTGTCTGCCTGAGTTTGTCCCAGAGCTGTGTGAGCTGCAGTCTGTTCATCTTAATGAGGGACTAGCTCTGGAACTTAACAGTTTAAATGTCAACGTTGTTAACTGTCTTAGTGGACAGGTCTAGGCAATGTGCCTTCGCCACAATCTCAAAATGCCTCCTGTGCTTCCCTACATGCCAAAAACATCAACTTTCCACACCTCCAGCTTCCATTTGGGAACTTCTGTGGTACGTGCACTGCTAACGCTAGCGTGTGTGGATTAATGAGCATGGGAAGAGCCTATCATGAATGGGACATAATACAGAATGAGAAAGGATTGGGCAATGTTACTCCCTTCAAGACCTGGAGCAGCAAAATGGCAATAAGGAAAACACTGCAGCATGTGAACTGTCCTGGTTTGTCTTTGACTTCAAACTTCTCACAGGAGAGAGAAAAAAAGCAAATGCAAATCTGTCCCCTCTAAAAGATCAGATGCCTGAGCAAGAAGCATGGGAGGTGAGGGAATGGACCATCAGGCTGACGTTCCCTTCCCAGCTTTACCACTGCCTCATTCTGAACTTGGGCAAGGTCTCTGCAACTCCTCTCAGGGAAGGGACAGGGAGTACTGGGAAGCCAAAACTAGTGCTTTGAGATCATCCAATAAAGTGGCAGAAAACAGCAAAATAGTATCATTTGGAGAGGTTCCTAATGTGTAGAACTTTTTACATGTTGGTTAAAAAAATCCAATTTCCTTTTGTGCTGTAATATAAGGAGTGGGTTCTTGGTAGCTACTTAATGTAGCTCAGGTGATGCACTGCTTTCCTTTGATGATGACACACTGCACTTTTTAAATGACAAGTTTTGAGTGCTCTTTCTTGGGAAATCAGCTGTCAGTTGTTCAGATGTGAAAGGTCAGTACCAGCCAGAGGTTTGCAGGGCTGAAAGCTGCATGCTGAGTCTTGAATTGTATTAGCCCTGAAGTCTTCTGTGTATTCACAAAAAAGAAAAATCACATTTGGAATAACACAAATACTTGAAACTGTTTAATACGTTGGTTAGAGGGGGCCTGTTGGTAGCATCTCCATGTTAATTCACAACAGGACTCCTGAATCGTGGTGCAGTGTGAGGTACACTGGTCATGCTCCTGTTACCACCTCAGAGGTGGCTGCATTTCAGTGATGCTGTCTGTAGCTTGCAAGAACTGTAGGAACCTCTGGGGTAAAAGCAAATGTAAATGCAAAATAACATATTACAACAGTAACCGAGGCGTCACTTCTGGAAGGTTTGTGGATTGTGGTATCTGGTCAAAGGAATATGCTTGTGAATTGGAGAAATTAAGCTGCTTCCCTCTTCTCTTTCTCATATCCCCCTTCCATCTCCCCTCTGTAATCTGCACCCACTTCTCCCAACTGACTGTTTAGCACTGAGACAAGAAGGGAAATACTTAACAGCTACTTAACACTACAGGCTGAGTTCAGGCTAGAGTAAAAATCTTGAGGCCTTGTGCTCTTTCAAGTTCTCAGACTCCTGATGTTAGGTGCACTGTTTTCCTGTCAGTCCATTGTGTTTCACAGACACTGCTCAGCACTCTGTCCCATTCCAATCCACAAAAACACCTTTAGAAAATGCTTTACAGCTTGCAGGGGACAGGACAGCAAAAACAGCTTCACAACACAACCAAGAGGAGGAAAGGAGCCACAAAGCATAATACAGTACAATGCTTTCCCTCTTGTGGACTTCCTGGGAAGCCCCTATCATTAGTGCACCTGGGCATTATGTAAGGCGAAGTCAACAACAAAGGAAGAATTGAATGATTGCCAGAGACAGAAAATATACATTTTACAGGGTGAAGGTGGCAACAAAACACTGTATATTTAATACACAGACATAGTAGTACAAAGGCAGAAACTGCACAGGGTGGAACCTTAAACATTGTAGGTCCAACTAAACGGGGACCAAGATTAGAATAAGCCCCGGTGCAATTTTACTGCACAAAAATGTGACTGACAAGATTCTGCAAAATAAACATGCTCTCAGGTTTACCAATCTCTTCCTGAAACCAGAAAGGGCCAGGCCCAGACCCATATGTCAAAACTCCTTTGACTTAAGGGCTCAGATAAAACAGAACTTTACTCTTGGTTCTGCAAATATACCATGATTAATCTTTGCAAGTATTAGAAGATTCACTTATCAAATGGCCATGTTATAAGACAGACCTTGATCAATTTATCAGTTTGAAAATTAGTTTTGCTTATTAAATAAGTGGGATACAGTCACATTGTAAGACTGATTCAATATCATACTATACTATAGTGCAATAAGGTTTTACTGTCATAATATAAAATTAACAGTAAAGGAGTCTGTGGCACAACTTACAAAGAGTTAATGAACTTGCTTAAATATTTAAATGCTCAGATCCAAAGTTTTTTATAAACTGTTCTCTTTCCCATGGCTCTCGTCTTTCAACATATTTTACAGATTTGCTACAAAATTCCATCTTTCAGAGAATAACTAGGATCATTATTAGTAAAACAGGTATTAAGTTTCAGCTACAAGATGTAATACTTGGGACAAGGAAATGAGAGCCAGAATGTGATAACAAAAGCTAAAACTGGTTGGAAAGTTCTGGCTAGGAAATGCATCCTGCCATCCTCTAGTGCAGCCTGGTTACATTAAGTGTGGCATATGATAGAAATGGAAGAATTTAAATATAATTTTCAAAAAAAATTCTGGTCTTACTTCCTTGATTATATTAATTTTACATTAATTCATTCCTATTTCTGTATTAATATATTTACCTTATTTTTTTCTATTGAAATGTGATGTATATGTAGACCTAATGCATGTAAAACACTACACAGCCGTGGTATATGTATACTGTTTAAGAAAGGGAGCCAGAATTAGATACCCCCAAAAAACTATGCATCCTGCAGGAAGAAAGAAGCTGAATTCTGAGAGCCAGAAGATATATTTATAACTTGCAGGAAGAATATGAGCTGATGGACTGAGTTACAGGACATATGAAAAGAAGGAACTAAATTCAGAACTAGATTTACAAGGTACATGTTCAGAAATCTATGATGGGACACATATGCTCTATAGGGAACCTGAAGCCAGTAACAAAGACCCATAAGTTACATTCATCATAAGCAGGAAGCACCAGTCGAAATGGTTGACCACATAGAGCAGGAGCAAAAACAATGTTCAGTTTTATGGATGGTTTCAGAGCTGTATTTTCTCCCACCCAACTTGATCAGCACCTGGTAGCAATAATGAGATCTGTGTCAATAACAAACAATTTAGACAGGATTGTCAGGCATGGAAAAACACCTGTCTGGTGTCATGGATTCCAGGGGCCTAGTGGTAGATCCTATAGCCTATGGATTTATACACATTTGCATACACTTACATCATTACTGCTCTGTCTCTTTCATGCAGCTGCTGGTTTATCTCGAATTCCTCGATTTTTTTCAAGTTAGCAAGTTCCACATCCTTGTCCTTTGTTGTGATCATGGGCCCGGGGATAAGCTTCAGCAAGGAATCACAGGCCTGAGGCTCCTCCCTGCCACCCCCAGTATACTGTGAAATGTTTATGACCAGGATCTTATGACTCTGAAGGTGCTGAATAGCTTGTTTTTTCCAAGTCTCAACTCCTGATGGGCAGCTACAGACCAACATTTAAGCCAGTTTGGTCCCTGGTTGTGCATTTTATTGCCCAGTTTGTCTCTTCAGCTCACATTTGTAAACTCCAGAGTAAATTTCTCTTTGGTTAACACTCTGGAGCTCAAAGAACTTTTTGTGTTTTTATTACATCCTTAGTGATTAAAGGCAAATTTAAACCTCAAAACATTCCCTGCTGTGAGTATAAAAGCATGGTATCATATTGGGTAGATGCATTTTAAAAAAAATTAAAAATTAGCCCTCCTAGAGTGGACAAATGTTTTTGGGTTGTTTAGGTGCATGGTGGTGTCAACAACTGAATAAATAAGTTGCAGTTCCTTGGGAAATCACTGGGTGGCATGTAGCTTTGAGGTGAACAAATGACTGTGAAGCACAATCAATGATGATGCTCAAATTTCGCATTCAGTTTCTAAGTGGGAATTTAGGAAGTGATGGAAGTCATATTTGGGATAGGAGTTCCTTTGAATTATCACTCCTGAGGTTACTGGTTTGTTATAGTAAAAGTTCTGCTCTGAACATAGGAAGATCCAGTTCTAGTGAACTCTGGGAAGGCTTTGGGCATGCAAGGAACAAATGGTCTGCTTCACACTTACCAGTGGGGAGCTCACAGCATGTCTCCTCCACACTTGCTTGCTTTACTACCTCAGTGCCTCTGACATTTTTCCTTCTACAATGAAGAAAAACAAATTCAGCCTAACACAGTACAGAAACATCTGTTTACACATGTCCATTTACAGGTATTCACACAAACATATAATGCCTCCACCCTTGTACTTACACCCACAACTCCCAAAATACCTGGACCTCCAACCCACCCCCATGCATACTGCTTCTCCCCCCTATGTAATAAAGACAAAGAATAGGTTAGCTGGTTAAAGCTTCCTTGTAAGCTTTTTGTTTATTCTGCACCCACACTTGATTTAGGCCAGGATCCCCAAAATCAAGTTTAAAAACCCCAACATTTCCAAACGGGGGGAGCTACTGCTCTGCATTTAGTGCAGTTGCTCTGCCTGGTGATTTTCATCCCTGTCCAAGAGTTTATAATAAAGGCAGATGAGACAACAAAGCTGGCAACAACCCATGGGAAGGAAGAAACAGACAACAAAACTAAAGGGGAAAGTGAAATTATCTTGATACAGCAATGTATAATTGATATTTCAACACAACTAGTGTCTACCAACGTTTGCTTGAATAACAAGGAATGGCACTACCATATTTATAAACATTCTTTAGAGATTTTAATCACAGTTCTAAAAAGTTTGGCTCTATCCATGTAAAATCACATCAGGACTCATTTTAAGTGGCACTTTCTAACTATGTTTCCCATGCTCCTTTTAAAAGACAGTTGAGACAAGCCATGTCTGAGCTGCAACATCTATGTCTCTTAGTCAGGTGCACATCATCAGGATTCCATGAATCCAAAAGTTAAACTAAACCAGTCTTGGAAAAATAAATGTTGTTTCAAATTAAAACACACCAGTTTTTTTGGGATTGCCTATGGTTCACTATTAATGGTAAAGGACTATCAACCCAACAGAGGCAATCACAGGAGCACTAACATAGAAAGGGTGCTAATGATAAAACTGCACCAGTGAGAATAAAATGTGAGGGATTTCTCTCTAATGTGTTGTGTGGAAAAGATCTAGGCAGCTTGGCATAGCAGGAATTGCTTGAAGAAACAGCTTACCGATTTTTCTTATAGCTGAGCCCATTCTCTCTAAAGCCTTTTGCAAATGGATTATTATCAATCTTCATCTGGGTAATCTGGGATGGGGAAATAAAAAAGAGAGAGAAAAACGGATAGAAGACATCTGAGGATGGAGACACAAAGCAGCAGCAGCAAATAAGCAAAAGGGTTTAAGAAAAAAGGAAAGAAGAAAGAGGAAAAGAGGAAAAGGAGAGTGAGAGATAACAAAACATGAAAACGAAGAGGAAAGAAGGGGAAAGAATGAGGAAGAGGAATGAGAGAAAAATGTTTAGTTATGCTGATACTCTCCAATATTTTGGTGCAATGGCTAGTCTCACCCGTCCATTTAAAAATGGAGTTTATTTGAAGAGCAAATGGGACAAGAAACTACTAAGAAGAAAATCCCTCTGGAAATCTGGAAACAGAAAATGGTAAAACCAGGGCAACTGCTGTCCTTGTGGGCAAGAGCCCAGGAGCAGACTACATCCCAAATCTAGTACTTAAATGTGCTGGTTCTTAGAAAATAGAAAAAATGCACTTGACCTTAAAATAGAAAAAATGCACTTAAGAGCTTCTTTGGTTTTCTCATTTTTGTCACCACAGTTACCCAGGAGAAAGCACAGAGGAATCACGCTCATCACATTCTTTTTCATATTCAGAATCAAATTGGTAGTCCTGAAAACGAAGGGTTGAGGATGCCTGCTAGAGTCAACCATGCTATATTGCCTCCCAAGCATAGCATTGCGCATATACCAGTGCACCAGCACTGTGTAATAGTACAGAGAGTTGTCTTTCAGATGCCTGCCTGGTTAGCCTTGTTCTCATGCTCAGGTTTAATTATCAGGTGATTACCAGATGATCTAGGGCTGACCAGGACTTTTTCCTCAGGTCAGATTGATAAAAACCCAGGGTTTTCTGTGCAGGATGGAGCATGGATATTTTACTATGATAACCTGAACATCTTGTTTTGTTCTCTTATTCACTTGTTTTTTTAAGTTATAAGGTACCCCAAGCCCTTATCAGGAAGGGCCACATATACATTGACTAAATAAAGATATTATCTAATTTTCTTGCCACTGCATCCTTGGTACTTCTGATCTCTAGCTGTGAGACACAATTTTAGCCTCCTGTGGACTGAAATATTTTAGTTCAACATGCATTGTTGAAATTGGTATATAACAAATGGCTGGCTGAAATTTAGAGTGGAAGGTCAGAAGGGACTATTAGTTCTAGTGTAACCCTTTATATATCACAACTTACTTAAGTTATTAAATCTCGTTTCTGAAATGAAAGCACCTTTAGCTATTCCAGCACTGGGTTTCTCTTCAGACAAAGCCATGGTAAAATTACAAAGGATTCTTTCTGATGTGGACAAATGCCATTAGTTACATCATCAGACTTAAACATTTTCACTTATAATTTGGCAAGGATTTGACTCCAGGTCTCTACTAAGCCCCCTCATCTACATGAGTGCTGACAGATGTGTTAAAAAGACAAAACAAAATAGTGCTTTACCAGAAGAGGAATCACATCGGTTTGACCCGGCTCCCGAGTCTATAGAGATTGTGCACTTCAGCAGGGCTTTTTGGTGCTTTTATCCAATAGCTGACTGAATCACCTATTAGACAGAAATGTCAAAAAGCCTCGCTGAAACACATGAGCTATACAGATGCTGGGTGAACCAGCTCAAACTGACACAAGTCCTCTTCTGGGCATGTGCTGTGCTTGGCATGGGAGCATGCTGGGCTGAAAGTAAAGTGCAGCTTTGTTTTTTTCCAGGTCCGTAAGCACCCAATATTTTAATAGCTTTGATACCTGAACCACTACCCATCATATTCATCACTCATTAGCTTGTAGGGCTAATGCTCATTCTGCTTTGAGAGAAGGTTTATTTACTCTTCAGTGACTCCTGCTTTGTTTCTTTGGTTTGTGCCAAGTCAAGGAACAAGGAGATGGAAGAGGACAGAAAGAAAAGTCACCTTGGAATTCTGATAAGCTGTCACAGCCATAAAAGTTGTTTCTGGGAACACAAACGTAGTCACAGCATTCCAGGGCAGGGTGAATGTGTGGTGGCTGGTCAGTACCACATGGAACCGTGGCTGGTATTTGTGCATCGAGTGCAAAATAATCTAAAGACAAAGAGAAACAATAGTCAGGAAGATCTAATAACTTCATTGTCTCTTCCTCCTATCACTGCCAGCAGGACTCCATGGTCTCAGAAGAGCAACCTGGAAACATTGCAGATAGAGTACCACAGTTCAGCCACACCCTACCACTTTCAAATAACTGTTCATGTGCTAAGTGAAATACAGGACCCTATCAGGTTTAAGAGGGGCTGCTTTCCAAAGAAAGGGGTGATGGTTAATGTCTTGAAAGGAGCTCAGTCAGAGGCTCTAACAGACCTTTCCCACTTCTATTTCCAAGTGGAGCATAATTCACGTTAATATTAATATCAGTCATGGTTATGAAAAGGGGATAACAGTACTCTCCCTATCGTGTAAGATCAGCAGAAAGGCATTAGGTTCCATCCTAGAACAGTTATGTGCAATGGCCAAGGCTACCTATGGACTAGTACTTTGCAGCACCACACTTCTATTCTACACTGAGTGTGGTGAAATGGCCAAGCTTTTCTTACATGTTCACACTGCTCCAGGGTATTGTTTGTGATCTTGAGTCTCTGGAACGAGATAGGTTCTTTCATCCAGTGACTGCCAGGAGCGGGGGAATCTGGATGGAGGTAGAAGTGGCTGGGGAAGTGGGGATCAGCTTTTCCAACCACCTCCCAGTGGCCACAGTGCCACTTATATCGTGCATTGTCTGAAGGCACTATATCCATCAGCATCAGGTAGAGAGAATGAGGATCCAGGCCTGATGCTATCATTTTGCAGGGTGGGAACATACGTCTGCAGAGGGGGAAAGGAAGAGTTAAAAGAAAGAGATTTAATTTTATGACTGATTACACATTAGAGAATTCATCCAAAGGGGTCATAGTACCAATTCTTTGGGGAGTGTCATTGTGCTATACGTAATAAAAACTGAAGATCCTGGCCAGAGAATACATTGAATCCTTTTATTCAGGATCTGGGGATCAACCCTGGGGTATATATCTATAGAACAATTTAAAAGGAAGGACTCTGAGCCACTCCTTTGAAAAAGTGCAGTGAGGTTGTATTACTGAATTATAGGTATCATATTAAAAAAGCTGTAGTACATGGGATATTTCATCCTGTGTGCTCTCCCATAGCTATGGTGTCACTGCTCTTAGTAGGCTGTATGGCATGGAATTTTTCCTTAGTATATATTGTTGGACTACTGCCCACAAATGACCAAATACGCAAGTGCACATCTCAGCTTGGGTTGTGTGCAGGTAGCATGCTTAGACTCAGAACTCAGCATCGCTTTGGGGGACTCAGCACACTGGTCGCATCAGCTTGAGCAGCAATGGCAGACACAACACTAAGCTGGCTAGACAGAGAGAACCACTAAGAGACAGGTAAAAAAAACAGCTGCAGAGTGGCACAGCTGATGGAATCCAAAGGGGCACAGCCCAAGGTAAGGTGAGCATGGAGAGGACAAAAAAATCTGTGCAACACTCATGCCTGGTGATACAGGTTTGTTCTCACCTGCCAGATTTGGTGATGATCATTTCAGTGCCAAGAGTGTAGAACTCCTCCCAAAGTGCCTTGTTCTCCAAAGAGAGATGGACCTTTCCATAGAGTCCATTTACAGCTGTGGGGAGGCAGCCCTTATTGCAAAGGGGGGCAAGTTGCAAGCTCTGAAGCGGAAGCATCTGGAAACAAGTGAGTGAGCCTTGGCACCTGCTGTATGGTGGCAGAGGGTCACACTCTCACAGGAAGAAGGGGAGAAAAGTAAACGTGTTATTGCATGCCCACAAAGCTGGAATTGAAGCAAAGCAGCTTCAACTAGAACATGAGAAAATAACACCCTAAGTTGGCCATATGAATCAAGTGGCCCTGGGCTAAGCAAGGCCACCTTCCCCTCTGCTGATCCACTTCTACCCTACTCCACTACACAGACGTCCTGTCTCCTTCTGGGTTCACCTGCTCACATCCTGATTGTCTGTGCTTCAAGGCTGCCAAAGATCTGTGGCACAGCCCTAAAGATGAAATACTAGAGCTCACAAAAACATTCAGAAGGTAACGTGAAGGAACTGAATTGGAGAGAAACCACCTGTACATGCCAATATTCAACTGCAACACAGGCCACATTCAACCAGTTCTTGGGCCAACATCTTCATTTAAGAATCTCCACTACAAAGGGCCTTCAAATCCCAGGTTGGGAGGACAAAAGCCATGCAGGTTACACTGTCCTTAATTGTCTCTGAATGTAGGGGATGAACGATGGATGACACCTGCAAATCTGTTCTGCCTCAGTCTTGACAAATCATAAGCTAATTCAATCACAGACTTGAAAAGCTATTTCAAAGGGGAAGGGCTCAGAGCTCAGAATCAAAGGTTACCTGAGTTCTCTTACCTGGCATCAGGACTGGTGCCCTCTGCTGGTTGCCAAGGCTGCAGCTGTCACAAGGTTGATGTCTGTATTGGCACTGGTGCCTTGAGCTACTTACATACAGATGTCCTGGTGCATGAAGCATCGTGATAGAACCTGACGAGAGGCAAAAGGGGTCTGACTCCAGTGCTTTCTAAGACAGGGGAAGAGCTTACCACTTGTTGAAGCAAACCTGCAAATTCAAAGGAATAGATGGAGTGAAACAGGGAGGTAAAAATGAGTGAAAGTGTGAAGGTAGAGTGAAAAAAGGGAAAGAATTAATGACAAGAGGCAATGGAGCCAAAATGATAAAGAGCCAAGGATATATACAGGCAATGCAAGCTTCTGGTTTTGGTGTCCTCTCCCCAAACACAAGGGGACCTGCCATCAGCTTTTGTACCTAGCAAAGAAATAGCAAAAAGAAAATCCTATATTTCCACACATCATAATTCACAAAACCTCAACTGTTTGCTCCTTGGGGAGATACAAAACTGTCTGAATGCTGCTGAGTCTCATACTACACTCCCTCTACCATCCCTGCGATTGGGCCAGAGTTGACAGGGTAGGTGCTCACAAGGGTTTTATTCCTCATGAGATGTCTCTGGGTGACAGTGGAGGTACTAAAGCCAGCAGCCATCCAGTTAAGGTTGACAAAAGATTGATCCAGGCACAAATGAGGCTATTTTTCTGCCATTCCAAAGTGCTATGTTTACTGGCTGTTCTTTTCACAGCTTTCAGAGAGGTTTGAATGACTCTCAAGGGAAGATGGGCCTTCAATTTATGCTAGCAACATCCTCTCAGTGCATTTTACTCCTACACAGTGGCTAGTATGCACTTGCTCACTTTCCAAGTCTCAGCAGATTCTTGCTAAGATCAGATGCCCATTTTCATTGCCCCTCTCTTTTCTCAGCTCAGATGCAGGAGATACTCTGCAAATGATATTCCTTTTGCCATAAGAATGCCAACAGCAGCGTGCCTAGGACGGGACAGGAGGGACAATGGCTGCTTTTTTTCCCCTATCTCAATGTTAACATTCATGAAAGTACCAAACTGGTGTCTGTAACAGCTGCTTCCCTGCACTGTCCTGCCAATGTGCTCTAGCCCTGCTGTGGAGGGGCTAACTCTGAAGATGAAGGCTTTGCCCTTTATTTATCACATTTCCTTGGAGGCTGCCCACACAACTGGTGGTACCTTGGACAAAGACATTGATCCACTGAGAGCAGGAATGAGATCCAAAGCTCAGCTGACCAAAGGTCATTACATGAGGGTTACAGCCACTTTATAAAGCAGGTTTGTTAATTCTTTTTTTAAATAACTCCCTTCCCACACACTGAAATAAAGCAAAGTTTATTATAACATGTTTCTGGAAATGAAATGGTACCAGATGGAAGCTGAAAAACATGCACGATCCGTGGGTGGGGGAGGGGATCCAAAACAACTGAGCCCATTGTGGAGGCAGGAGATGTTTGTTTTTAAAATTGATTTTTGTACCAAAAGTTGTCTCAGACATTTCTCATCAGTGGCTCCACAGTCACATGTGGTTGGCTTCTGCTGCCACTGGAATCAGTAGATGGTATCCCATTGACCTCAGCATGATCCAGAGTGGCCTGTGCCACTTAACAGATGTGATGTCAATGCAGATTATCCAATATTGCAGCATGCAGACCCGAAGCCAGTGAGATACTCCAGGCAAGAGAAATGGTGGAGAAGAGAGGCCAAGAGGGCCCTCTCCCTGCCTTGAGTACCCGCTAAGTTTGTAGCTTTGGGCACTGTAGACATTTGGGTTTAACAAAGTAATTTCTTCCTTGTTTGACTTGTAGGATAGTTACTTGACACAGGCCAGAGTTCTGTAATACCCTTGTCCCACAGGAGGGTTAGTATCCTGGCTATGAAGTACAAGCCAGCTAATCAAGTATCTGGAGAGTGAAGATGGGCACATGCTGCAGTGGTTTACGTTTAGGTAGCGTTATCAGTGGGGTTCAACTTTTATAAAAGCAGCTTTGTCAACCCAAGTATTTCAGAATTATGAGTTTGGTCCCAAAAATAAAAATAATGGCTTAAAAACCATGAGTGCATTGTGAGTCCTGCTTATTTGCTTTCTGATATTAATCTTTAGGGATGATATTTCAAAGGCTTAAAGTTTTCATGAAAATAAGCAAACTCAATTTTGGATATAACCATTGACTCTAGGGGCAGGTTGTCTAAGATAGATATCAAACACTGCAAAAATTGTGATAAAACTGCAGGGTCTGGCAACACTGCAAGAATGACTCAGGCCAGGATTCAAGTTTACCCACCACTCCAAATTGGGATGGGGGTCTCAGAAAAATGTTTACAGTTTCTGCTCATCTTTTAGATGGATGGGTACAAAGGGTTGAGAGTCATTGTGCAAGACTCACTGGCTGAGATTTTATTTAAAAATATATAAACTAACTAAACAATACATGTCTGAGTTGGATTTGGCGCTCAGCCCACAGAGTTCATATGGAAGGGAATATGTTAGGTATATGTTTCTTGTTTAAGTATTATTGCTTGATAGGAAACTTTTCCTTCCTTTTTCTTGCTAATTCCTGTTATATCAGGGAGTTGTAAGTAGCTTCTTTGGAAGCTCTGAATCACAGAATCATAGAAAATTAAGGTTGGAAGGGACCTCAGGTCTTCCAGTCCAACCCCCTGTAGTTGGTAGGACCACTACCAACTACAGCATCTCAGCCAAGGCTTTATCTAGCCAGGTCTTAAAAACCTCTGAGGATGGAGATTCCACAACCTCTCTGCAGAACCTGTTCCAGTGCTTTACTACCCTCCTAGTGAGATAGTTTTTCCTAGTATCTAACCTAAACTTCCCCTGTTGTAACTTGAGACCATTGCTCCGTTTGTCATCTACCACTACTGAAAGCAATCTAGTTCAATCTGCTTTGTAACAATCTGTTTGCAGGTAGTTGAAGGCTGCTATTAAATTCTTGGTTTCGCTATTTCTCTTTTACAGTAGGCACAATAGTAACAATGAGGTTAGAGTGGGATTTTATGCTTAGTTAAAAAAGTTAACTAATCAGTTTGGTCTCAGTATTTGCCTGTCAACTGCAAGGAACCAAGGATGGAGCAGAAATTTGCATTTCTAATAATGTTGTCCTTTAAGTAGACAGAACAGCCAATCAGCTAGCCTTTTTTCACAGAGAAAAACTCTACAAATAGAATGAGACCAGTGCAAGAGAAAACAAACTTAATATGCAAATTCTCACTAGTCTGAAGGCTTCTCAGTTGTACTGAGTACAATTTTCCACTACCTTCATTAGAAGGCCACCGTCTCAAGCAGATGATCTCTATGAGTTCCTCAAGAGCATTTCATTATAAACGTTTACCAGTCAGAAACCAGCTTAAATAAAACCAACAAACTCATGCCATTATAGACAGAGACGATGCATCTACTTATGCAAATGTTCTGGGGTGTCTATACCTGTAGACACCCAGGCAGGTGTCTACACATGCGGAGAAGCGGAAGCAGATTTGCTGCTCAAAGCAGTTTGCTCCCACCCCCACCAGCCCTGCATTGGCCCCCTGCAGCAGCCAGGGGGAGCTCTATGTTCCCCTTCAGTGCTAGCCCAGCTGTCTTCTGGCAGGGGCTGGGAGATTGCTCCCTGCCCCTTGGAGCTGTCTGCAGCTGGGGTGGGCTCTGCCATCAGAGCCCAGGTGGAGACAATGTCTCCTGCTCTAGCAACAGGTAGTTCCTGGTCCCCACTCAACAACTGTGGAGTGGGGGCTGGGAAATGATTGTTTCCAGCCCCAGTGGCCATGTGGGACACCATCCCCACCTGAGCTCCAGTGGCAGAGCCAGCCCCAGCAGCAGGCAGTTCCCAGGGGCAGGGAGTAATTTTCCGCCCCTGCTACTTGGCTAACCGGGAGCAAATTTGTTCCTGGTTGGCCGTCTACACGTGCTGTACTGTGTGGTAATTACTTCCAAGTAAATTTGCTACTTGTATTTACAGCAGTGGCAATGTGTAGGGGGTGCATATGCACCCCCTGAGGGTGCTGGTACACTCCCTGTCAGGCCGCGCTTCCTGTTAAGCCAGCAGGCAGGGTGGCAGGTGGGAGCACCAGTGCCCCTCTACGAGCACTGGCTAGAAGTGGCTGTGGGATTTGGTGAGTGAGATTGGCTGTGAGGGCCCACCGCTGGTCAGTGTGATTGGCCGCCGGGGGACCCCCGCTGGGCAGTGAGATTGGCTGGGGGACTCCCCCTGGTCTCTGACTGTTGCATGTGTGTGTGGGGGGGGGCACATGCCCCCCCGACTCAAGAGGCACCAGTCACCCATGAGGTAGCAAATTTACTTGAGATTAGAGCTAATTACTGTGCAGTAAGCATCTCCACATGTAGACAGTGACGCTTACTGGGTGCATCCACACATGCATTTTATGTGGGATCATTTTACTCGTAAGTAAACACTCCTGGGCAAGCATCTGCATGTGCAGGAAAGCAGGAGCAGATTTGCTGCCAGTGGCAGCAAGCTGCTTTCACTTCCTGGGGCTCTGCCATGGTCCGCTGCCACCACCAGGGAAAGCTGGAAGTTCTGGCCACAGCTGCCTGTGGCCTGTAGCCCTCTTGAAAAGGCAGCCCTGCTCTTTGCTTCCTGGCCTGCCACTTCCCTGGCCAGAAGCAGTGTGCACAGTACAGGGGTAGCACACGGCAGCTCTCTCCTCACCAACTCTTTCTCCCCGTGCCATGGCTGCTCCACCCTGTCAGCAAAAACCAATGGCCCAGGGTTCTGCTGACCATCACATTGGCCTGGCGGGCCTAGCATGCTGACCGCTGTCTGGCCCATAGCCATCTAGGTCTTCCTAGATCCCCTACATGCAGTGACTGCCTGCAAGGCTGCAGCACTCCATCCTAGGGCTACTGTCACCATGCAGCTGCTACCTGGACCCTGTCCAGCTGACCTGCCGGACTCTGGCAGAGATGCCAACAATGTGGTGCTCGACACCACTGCTGGGGCTGCCCTTGCCCACCTAGGCCTCCAGCCCTGCTGCCTCTGGGCCTGCCGGGCCAGCCAAATTGGTGGCTGCATGTCATCCAGCACACCTGGGACAATGAACAGTGGCTGAAGGCATTCAGGATGACCTGGGCCACCTTCTAGGATCTTCTGGGGCAGCTCTGGCCACACCTGAAATGGCAGGATACCAGCAAGCAGCTGCCCCTTCCCACAGACACCCAGCTAATCCCCGCCCTGCTGAAGCTGGCCATGCCTGCCAGCCTGTGGTACATCAGCCACCTCACTGGCATGGGCAAGGCCATTACCAGGGAGGCTGTCTTAGAGGTGTGTGGCACTCTCCAGGATGTGCTGGGGCTCTGCATGCCTGACCCCAGGGTGGTGGTGGTGGGGTTCCATGCCCTGGGATTCCCATCATTGCATCAGGGCGTGGAATGGGGACCCACATCCCCATCACCTGCCCGCCTCACAGCAATCAGCCCTACAACAGCTGAAAGGGCTTTTACTCTCTGATGCTCCAGGCCATTCTGGACCACTATGGGGGTTTCACGCACGTGAGTGCTGGCTGGGTCAGCAGCACTCATGATGTGTCTTCAGGAACTCCACCCTGCCAGCCCTGGCGTAGAGCAGCTGCTTCACACCGGGGTGCCAGACCTGCAGCTGGGTGCTGTGGTGGTCCCACCCCTCCACATCAGGGACTCTGTGTACCTGCTCCTCTGAGGGCTCATGTGGCCCTTACACCAGCCAGCTGGACCCCTGCCAGACCCACTTTAACTGATGCCTGGGCCGGACCTGCGCCCTGGTGGAGTGTGCCTTCAGCCACCTCAAGGCGTGAATGACACATGCCCCTGGTGGCTGGGGGGGCATGGGGGCACTGGTGGCGGTGAGAGGATGGCGGCAGTAAATGGGTAGCTCCCACAGATGCCGCTGACACTGTTGGCAGTGGGGACTGGGGGGTGGCAAGTGCCAACCAGGGGTCAGTGACATGAATAACACATGCCCCCAGAGGCTGGGTGGGGCACCGCATTGGTGGGAGTGCAGTGGAGGTGGGAGCGCGGTAAGTGGGAGCTCTTGCAGTTGGTGCTGACAGTGTCAGTGGCGGGGGGAGGGGGGTGGCGAGTGGCAACTGCCCGCAGGCCTTTTTGTAGAGGGTGCATCGCCACGCTCAGGGGGTGCACGTGCACCTACATGCACCCCCTATGCATTGCCCCTGCTTGGCAACCACCCACAGATGCCAGTGCAGTGTTGGTGGCAGCCAACAGAGACAGGGGTGTTGGCAGTGTCTTTTCATAGTGGGTGCACTGCCACGCTCAGGGAGTACACATGCACGCACATGCACCCCCTACACGTTGCCAACGCCTCAAGAGATACTGGCGCACCCTCACTGCCCACCTCTATTTTGCTGAGGACAACCTCCCCAGGTCATCGTCACAGCCTGCGTACAGCAAAACATTTGTGAGGTCTGGGGGGAGCTCTTCCATGAGAGCTGGGTGGAGGCCGCTTGGCAGCAGAAGCAACACCGCAGCTGTCAGCCAAGCCCCCATCCCCACTTGCAGTGCCAGGGGCAGATGGGCTGCTGGGTGCAGGCAGCCTGCCACCCCTGGCTGGGACACGCCAGGCTGCTGGCTCCAGACCCTACCACCCCCATCTTCCCCACTCCAGAACAGGACAACTGCTCTCTTCTGCTGCTGCTGAGCCCATGGCATCTGGGCTTGGTGGGGTGTGGGGCTCCTGGATGACTGGGATGTTGAGCTGCCTGTACCCCTGCCCTCCCTGCAGGGGGCCTCTCCAGGGAGGTGCCCTGGGGCCAGCCTCCCCTGCACTGATACTACGCCCTGAGCATGCCCCTTTTATGCTTTGCAAGTGCTGCACAAAAGACCTGTTTGTGCAGACCAAGGGCAACCCAACCCACTATGTCCTGCTGCTGATTGCCATGATGCCCCAGGTGCACCTGCACACCTGGCATGGGGCCCTAAGCTTCGACAGCACAAGGGGCAAGCCTGGGCTGCCCTGCAACCTCCGCCACTGCCTGTGGCTGTGCTACACATCCCTGGCCCCCACAACTGAGGAAGACATCACTGCTGGAATTAATGCTTTCCTCAGCATGTGAAACACCTGTGCCCACCTAGCTGTGGGGGTGCAGCCTACTCAGTACAGTTTTGCACTGTCTCCCACATCTCTGTGTGCTGGGGGTGGGGGGCTGGGGGGAACCCAGGGCCAGGGGAGTTCAGCCAGGCTGAGTAGGGGCAGAAGCAGGGGCAGGGCAGGGCAGGGAGGGCCCTGTCCCCAGTACAGAGCTTACTATATGGCCGGGGCTGGCAGTTTTGCTTGGTCCTGGCTTGCAACGACAGTGTGAGGCTCCAAGCAGTGTCCTTGGATGGAGGGGTGCAGCCTGCAGGCACCCAGCTAGAGTCCCCTCAGGGAGAAGCTGGCACTGCTGGCAGCCCACAGTGACATGGCCAGCCATACCTCCTGGCTGGGGCTGGGGCTGCAAAACTGTCGTGGCAGGTGCTGGCCCGGACTCCCCAAGCTGCTGGTGTAGGCTGCAGACGGTGAGCTCAGTGGGACAGGCTGCTCCAGGT